TTTTAATTTGGCTGCAAATGGAGCGTGTGATTGACAGCGTTGTGTTCTCGATGTTTTTTTCTATCTATGATTTCCTTGTTTTATTTTTTATTTAATTTTTTTCTCTCTTTTTTATGTAACTTTTTAATACGCTTTGATTGATTGATTGGGTTCGAGCTGAGTAACATAGAATTGGCGATACGAGCGCACAACTTTGATATGAAATTATGAAATATTTCACTCACCCGTCGAAAGACTTAAATTGGCTTTCAAATCACATTGATTGACATCTCGCATTTGGCTCGTTAGACGAAATTGATACTAATAAAGTGATTTACTTAGCTCTTGGTTGGTCAACTAGTGATTTATGTGAATTTCAGTGAAATGTTATAGAAAATATTTAATTTGATTATAATGTATAATGAGGAACTTACGCAATTTAAGAATACAAATATTAATCTCATAAATAATACATAATTATTGATAATGGTGTTTATGTAGTAGCTTTATAAAAAATTCTTATTCGAGCATTGCTGGGGTTTGTAGACGGTTATATTTCATTTAAGTTTAAGGCTCAATGCTCACATATTTTGTATTCGAGCTGTGCTTAGATTAGCATATCTATATATAAGTTTCACATGCTAGAGTCGATGTTATTAATGAAGCAACAGCATCTCAAGATATGCTTCAAGTGACACTGAGCAACAACTAATAAAACTGACACGAGCACTAACAACCAGATTGGGCTTCAGGTGTGCCTGACAAAAAGCAAAACGCAAAACCGATGTAAGGCTCATGTTAGCGATAATGGAGACTCAATAGACACACTACATTCACACACACACACACACACACATACAGGCACACACACACATGCAATTTGCCATGCTCTTTAGAGCGTATACAAATCGACAAATCCAACAAATTGCCGTCTAAAACGTGAGCAGGTTGGCATTGAAAAGTGGCTGACAAACACAGCATAACGAAAATAATACTAATAATAATAATAATGTGATAGAGCGGCGTATGAAATCGCCTATAGAAGAGAAATAGAACATTTCAATTGATAATGAAAACATATAATTAAAAGTTCAACTGATTTAACCCCCCCGAGCAAAATGGAAACGCCTTCAAAAATATAACAACAAAACGATTCACTTCAATTTGAGGCTTGATAGTTTCAAAAGGGTCTTCAAATTGTATGTTTTATACTCACAATTGTTGCTGTTGTTGTATTTTACAGTCAAGAAATGACATAAGCCGCAAAAGTATTTGGTACAATACAGAAAACAAGTAAATAGACAACTCAACAACAACTTTATAATACTTGTAATTTACAATAGTAGTAAATTGCCGTAGCCAAAGATTAGTTAAGCAAATTACACTTAATATGTGTAGTTCATGTAGTTTATTGTCAAAAGTGTATGCCAAGTACATAAGCACATATAATAGCCATTACTCATTAGCAGTGTGTTGCGATGTTAAATCACTAATGTATCTGAGGTACTTCGTTAAGGAGAGTACATTAAATGAGTTCAATAAACTGTGTGCTACACGAAAGTGATTAAACCAACTCAATTTGAGCAAAATCAAACTAATTTGAAGTGCTGATTTAGTCAGCTATTTCCAACTTAACTTAAATTTGACTGTAAATTTAAAAAAAACCTGAATGTTTCTGTATAATTGGCAAGACCCATGTTAATAAACGAATTAAATTCTAACAAATTATACAAAATTAAAAAGGAGGAACTAAATTATAAGTTAAAAATTAAAGAAAAATAATTAATTAAATGTAATATAGTCTGTGGGTATTAAATTTTTAAGTGCTCCAATATTTATTGCAAGCTCGGAAAAACCCCAATCGGAACCATTATTGTTAGGCGATTGAGTTAAGAAGTAGACAGAGATAAAGAGTAATACATAAAATAAATAAAGATGGACAAGTCTCTGAATCTGTGGAGTAAGTTAAGTTTGCGACGGTTGCCCGAGATATATTAGAATTGAAAATTGAATTAAAGGAAGAAAGAGTTCCATCGAGAATACGTGAAATAAAGCATTGTAAGACTTGCGAATGACACGAATGGATTGAATAAAATGATTCATAAAATTGACACAGTAGGTTAAATTTTATAGTCAAACAATGTGCGTATCCAGTTTTTATAGACATGACATAAGCTACCTATTTTGCATTGAGAAAGGGCGAATTACAGATTGGCTCTTTAAAAGCTTGATAGTGTTTCCGAGGCTTAAATTATATTGTGTGTGTGCGTGCGTGTGTGTGTGTGCCGTGAGACGTGGTAATATGTACACTTAGCTCTAAAGTTGTTTAGATTGAAACGTCTTTTAATTGCATGTTAATTGCCCTAACCAGCGAACAGACAAACAGACAGGCAAACGGACAGACAAACAGGCAGACAAACAGACAGACAACTTTAGCAAATGTGGAAGAGACGCAGTTAAGATCTGCAAAACGATACAAAGACTGAAACCAGACTGTTGCCTTTGTTGTTGTTGGCCAAACTTGGAGCAGGCAGCAAGCAGTCAGTGGACATTGTTTGTTTCTTTTGATGTGATCGTTCTGTTTCTGTTGCTTTCTCTGTTTCTCTGTTTCTCTGTTTCTTTTTTTTCCTTTTTCTTTTTTTCTTTTTTGGATTGCTTGTGAAAAACTGGACTGAACATAGAACATCGCGAGAAGTGGAGAACTGGAGTGCAGTTCGTATTAAAACAGTTGCACTCATTTGTTGTCCCAGTCGCCATCATTGTTCTTTCGAGGCAGAGTGTTTATCTGTCAGTCTCTGGCCAGTCTCCGCACCTCTCGGAGTACCTATTTACTAAAGTACGTGTGGTTATGGCTCTGGTTCAGACACTGCCCGTGGCTCTAGCTCGAGTTCGAGTTGGAGTTCGAGCTACAGCTTTGGACACAGACAAAGACAAAGACAAGTTTTTCAAGTTTTCCGACAGGGGCACAACATGAAGTCATTCAAGTGGCAAACAGCAACGGCAGCCGCACAGCCACTGGACATGAAGAAACACACGGCACAAGGGACAGGGCCTCCAAAAAGAGACAGCAGCACAAATACCAGAGAGAGACAGACACACTGGTTGACCACAAGAAGAAGGCTTGGAGGCATTGTTGTTGTTGTTGCTTGTTGTCCGTTGGTTGTTGTCCAGTTGTTTGGAGCTGTCATTTGCACTTGACGTTGCAACTACAATTGCAACTGCTGCAGTAAGACTTATTTAAACGCATATAAAGTCTATAATTCCATCAGCTGCAGCTTATGGGGAATCAATTACCTCAGATAAGATAAGTACTTGCTTGGTTAGCAAGCATTCAATTATTGAATCACGCACTTTACAATAGATTTGTGAAATACACCTTTTAGCAAAGATGCCATTTTGATTCAATATTTCCTTTCGCTTCCCTTACTTCAATCGTAGAATTATTATCTTTGCTTTTGTCTTTCCCAGGTCAAATTCAATTTTGATTCAGCTTTAAGTCTGTGTAAGTAGACAGTCTGATTAAAAACACTTTACACTTATAAATTAAAACTTTGTATGGTCATCGCTAAGCAACTTTAGGTTTACTTCTAAGGCAAACTGGCCACTTTGTACCTGGCAGCATATGTAGCCTATATATATTCATAGATATGCGCAACTAGTTTTTCCTTATCGTTTGGCTTTATATTTATGGGTGGGTTGAGGTGTATATACACACAAATAGGTAGGCCTTCTACAACACCGGCATAGACATAGGCAGCGTTGAATCACTGACCCAATTCAAGGGCCAACTACGGATACGCTTCAGTGTTCCACACTTGACTTTAATGCTTTGTGGGTTTTGTAAAGAGGCTCTCATTGTAAGATTTTTTGTTTAGTGCTATTCGCGGGCAAGTGTTAATTAAATTGATTTAAAGTTCAGATACAGATACAGATATAGATACAGATACAGATACGGATACGACTCAATGGATTTGAATGTGAGGCAAATGAAGCGTGCCCAAACAGATTTGTTTTGTTGAGCCCTCTTGGGCTCGGTAGCAAAATATATAAAAATAAAATAAAAATAAAAATACCTTTATACAGTAGGAAATGAGTTGACAATTTGAATTTGTGGCTTTTTATCGAAAAACTCTACTCAACTCAAAGACCACTCGTTAACTGAGCGAACATTCAAAGCTTTTATCACAGAAAACAGAAAACAGCCGTCAACATTGAAGTGAGGTTGTTGCAGTCGCTTGCCAAATGGCCAAGACATAACTTTTGGACATAATTAAGCCATCGCAAATGGCATTTGGAGAAAATGTTTGCCATTTGCGTTGACAGTTGCCAACAAGCAAACTTTGCTAATTAATCAAACAACTGACAACATTGCTTCTCATGTGCTCATGTGACACGATCAAATGGCCACATTTTGAACAAAATACCTTAATTAATTGCAAATACTTGGCTTTATCAAACATGCAAATCTTTATTTGCCCACTGAATGCATGCAAGATCAATCAAAATATGGCTAAAAGCAGTTTTCCAATTGGGCTTAAAGTTAATGTATTGATAAAGCTGAGCTTACAAAGTGCGAACTTCAAACAAATAACTACTGAAATGCACTGAATAATTCCAAAGTTTGAGTTTGACTTACCTAAAATATTGTATATCATAAAATAATAATAATTATGGTGATAGTTGTTTAATAAGCGTGTAAAAAATCGTGGTTTATATTTTAATAAACAAATAAACTAGCGAAGAAGAAATGAATAAAATAAATATACTCTATTATATCCTTTATTTTTTTTTAATTTTAAATTTGATCAAATGACTCAAATTTCATTTTACATAATAATAGATAAATCTTATATCTACTTTGTTAAAACTGAACCGATTTTCAATAGCTATGCACTTTTGAGCAGGTTTTAGGCTTTAGATGAATGCATTTAGCAAATAAAACCATTTTGTTCAAAGTTCATATAAAATTTTGATAATTTTATGAATATTCTTTCACTTTCAAGCTAAGACATACAGTTGTCATAACTACAAAGGCGCCTTGACGACAGCTAACAAAACGGTCAAAATCCATAGGCAAATAGCCAGGGAAACAAACAACAGTTATTCATTGTTGCTCGAAGCTCCAAGCGGAATGCAGTACAGTTGGCTGCCGCAGGAGAGACGCGAGGTGAAGACTAGGGAGAAGCCACCGTTGGTAATATCGCTGCAGCGCTATGGACGCCTGCAATCGAATGCCAACCAGGCCGCCAAGGAGCAGCAGCGGCAGCAGCAACTGCAGCGGCAGGCCTACGAGGAGCAGCTGCGTCTTGGCGGCGAGGAGTTGCTGCGTCAATTTGGAAATCGCAATCTGTGCCGCACCCAAGAGGAACGTTGCAAGAGCAATCAGCGGCGGCAGCTGGAGCAGCAGCAGCAGGCCAAACAGCGAGCGCTGGAAGAGAGCGAGGCGGAGCGGCGGGAGGAACAACTCCAGCAAAAAAAGCGCATTGAGAAGGCGCAACAGCTGTTGGAGCAACTGCGTCCGGGACCAAGGGAACTGAACTGTGCCAAGCTGCACAGCGAAGTGTTGCGTGGCATCAATGCCCAGCGACAGTTGCAGGCCCAGTTGGCAGCTGCAGCGGAGCAGCAGCGCCTGCTGGACAGACGCATCTACAGCGAACAGGTGCTCAACGGCCTGGACGAGATGCAATTGCGGCACACGGAACGACAACAGCAGCTGGGCGAGCACAAGCGAGAACTGCTGGAATCAATTAAGCAGCGACAGCTGGAACGCGAAGCCAACAAAGCTGAGCAACTGGAGCAGGCGCGAGAGGAACGACAGCGCAATCAGATCCAGTTGAAGGAGCAGCGGGACAAGGAAGCAGCCCACCAGGCGAACCGAAGGCAGCAGACGAAGGAACAGGCGCTGGCATCCCTTGTGGCAGCGGAACAGCGTCGACAGCAGCTACGCCGGCTGGACGAAGTGGAGCAGGCGCTGTGCGAAGTGCACAACGAGGCCAAGGCCAAGTTGGATGGGCTCAAATACGATCTGGGCAAGCAGCGTGTGCAGCGACGTATTCGACGCAATGAGCAACTGGCCAAGGAGCTGGCGCCGCGGCTGAACTACAGTGCTGGCGAGGAGGACCAGCGCCGCCAAGAACAACAGCTGGCGGAGATGCGACGGGCGCACAGTGTTGAGCAGCAAAAGAGGCGCCAGCGTTTGGAGCAGAGCAAGCTGGAGCGATTGGCCATGCAGCGAGCCGAACAGGAACAGGCGGAGGCAGCCAAGCGGAGCAGGGAGGAACAACGAAGCAAGGATGAGGAAAGGCGACTGGAAAATGATCGAATACATGTGGAGTTCAAGCGGCAACAGCGCCAAGAGCAAGTGAATCGACAGCGTGAGTTGCGCGCCCAGTTGGATAAACAGGAGGCACAACGACTGGAAGAGCAGGCACGTCCGGGCATCAATTATAATCGTGAGGCGCAAATGGAATGCCTGCGCGAGGATGCCTTCTTCGTAGATTATGCCCACAAGCTGATGACGGAGGCCCAAGCCCAGGGCTGTCCCCTCAAACCTTTCGTGCGCGCCCTCGACCAGTACAAGAGTGAGAATCGCATTGGAGCCAAGGTGACAATTCCACGACATCTAATTACCAAGTTGACCATGGGTAGACGCACCAAGGGAGACAGTGCAGCGGAGGAGAAGGCGAGTAGCCAGGAGAAGCAGCAGCAGCTGGCAGCGGAAGAGAGCCCAAAGGAACAGAGCCACAATGAGGAAGAAGAGTACAATCGGAAAATCGAGCAGAATCTTAAGAAAATCGATGCATTGTTGCTGAAGAACAATGTAAAGGAGGAGGAGTAGAACTAAGAAATGGATAACACTACTCGAAGTAATATATAAATAATAATAATAATAATAATTGAGAGAATATAAGTACTTTTTCATAGTAATAGAACAGAAGTAATAGCTAGAAAATATCTATGATTCCATAAGTTAATGTAAAACAAAAATTTTTAATAAACGAAACGTTTTAAAATCTACAACAAATGGAATTATTAAAATCCATAACAGGCCTTCTTAAAATATAGATAAATAATATTTTTAATCTTTCCAACGTTATAAAAATTATATCAAGCATTTAAAAAAAAAAAGACGGAAGATGTAAGAAGGAATTTGAGTCAACATCAAAATAAATAAGTTGAAAGGTGACGGAGAATTAATTCCAGCTCATAATAAATAATTAAATAATCTAAAACCTAAAAAGTATAAGCAAAAAATCCTTAAACAATTGCAGTGCTTTTAGAAATATATTTGTTTTTTTGCTTACATAAATAACCATATTTCTTTTCTGAGTTTTGGGATAATCTCTAGTTACTTTCGATAAAATATGTTTGCTTTGAGCTTTGAGTTTACAACTTAATTACATTTTTTTTGTGTTTTTTCTTGCGAAGAAACCTTTCGAAATTCGTTTCAAAGTTGCAATTCAATTGGAAATATCATAAAAATTACTGCATTCAACTTTCTGTATATTGAATTGCAAACACAGGCTGCAGTTATTCGAGTTCAAAGTGAAGCTATCAATTTCCAATGCCAGGCTCCATTTGCATTACTCATGGCCTGCAGTTCACCTGCCTTGTGGTAATCGTATTCCACCATTATTGGAGGTGTCCCCACCCCGCACTCCTCACCCCTCTCCCCCTTCGACTAACTTAATTGCGATAGGCGGCTTGTGATATTTATGGGGCATGTGTTTCTGGGATGCCACAAAAGTGTTTTCTTTTTTTTTCTGTTGTTTGCTGCATGTTGTTTGGTGAAAGGCACTTAGCAGTTGCATGCGAGATTGTCATCAAATATTGGCGGCTAAAAAAATTACTTTACTTTAATTTGCATTTGGGCGATTGTACAAGTGGCAATTTATGTGGAACATTCAGGCAGAGAGTGTGTGAAATACTGTCATTGGTACGAAAGAGCAAGGTCAGATAAGACAGCAAGAAAGTTAAAATAATCGGTTTTTAACATAATAATTAATTTAAATATTCTATCTTTAGAAAAGCTTAATAAATCGAACTCTAAAGTTAGGAATCTCTACATATTTATTAAGCTTGCCTAAAGTTAGAACTTATTTCGAAATGATATACAAATAAAAAACAATTGACCTGCAGACAGCAATAACATATTTAAATTATTCACTTATTTCTTAAAACCATAATATTTAAACTTCGTGCTGTTGGCCATAACTTTCTCTTTCCATCAAACAATAATGAATAAAAACCTTTTTAATTTGTAATTTCATTTTGTTTAAGGCACGCATTACTCATTCGGAAATCCAAGCTAAAATTTTAATCAAACAAACTGAGGAAGCCAAAAAAAAAGTCGTCGTTCTTTCTGGCTCTCTATTGGCCTCTCTTTTCCTCTCTATCTCGCTCTCCCTCTCTCTCTCTCTCTCAGTAAACCCACTGACTAATGTGTCACAAAATTGAATTATGTGTTCGAGTTTCGTTCCACAAATATATGAGCCATATTCTTGTACGATATTTACGTTTGCTGGTGGACTCATGTCAGTCAACTGGGTTTATATTTTTTGGTGAGTTCTATCTATTTTTTTGTTTTTTTTTTTTTGATGGGGGGAGGGGAGGGGGACAAGTTTTGTTTGTTGTCTAAGCAAACGCCTGACACTGAATGGGAGCGTGTGCAATTGTATAGGTGTGTGTGCGTGTGTGTTTGCTGCCTGGGGCTTAAAGGTTTTATCTTTGTCATGTTCGTCGTGAACTTGTTGATTTTAGATACAAAAGTTGCCGTCGTTGTTGCTGTTGTTGCTGTTGTTATGGTTGTTGTGGTTGTCGTTGTCGTATTTGCGCAACCAAACAACGAAAATTGTCGAAACGAGCAAAGCAACACGAAGGTTAATGTATCTTCACAACGTTCAAGTTGTATCTATTGCAAATAAAACAAATACACAGCAATATTTTTTGGTTGCTTTATTTCGTTTTGGGTAAAGAACTTTGAAGCCAACTTCAATCTTTTCAGTTTAAGTTTGTTATTTGTCAATTTTTCTTTGTTTTACTTATTTTTTTGCAAGTCTGCGACTTGGCAGACTTTGTAGCTTTGCCGACACACAAACACACCAGACAGACACACTCGAAGACCTGCCCGAATTCTAAGAAGAGTCAACAGTTTCTTTTTATTTTTGTCTGGACTGAAAACCAAAAATTGAGCTGTGCAAACATAAATTTGTTTTTGAATTATGAATTTTGAATCAAGCTACAAAAAAAAGCAGGTAAGTTTGTTTGTGCAAACCTCTGCCAAAGGATTTTATTACGAAACTGGCTTCTGAAATCGCTTTGAGTTAATAGGCTTCAAAGAGCTAATGAGCTGGTAATAATAAAATAAATGAAAAATGCTAATTTTAAACATAAAATCACATATTTATGTATATATTATAGGTAGACCTCTCCGAGCGCTGATTTTCAGAAAGTCGTAGCTACAAACACTAAACACATAAAATTGAGCAAAATCTGAGGATAGGAACACCTTGAAAACCTTTTAAAAGTTGTTAAACTAAAAAATAAATACTAAATGCATACAGTTGGAACAGCTTCAGATCTGACTAACTCATAGCTGACAACATCGATGAGTCATTTATGTAAAATTAAAAATGTAACTATTTGTTTAATTATTTAAGGAAATTTGATTTCTGCCTTTGCAGTTGCCACTTACGTATGTAAACATTTGAATTCCATGACAAAGCTTGTTAGACTTTTGTTCAACTTACCTAAAAATAAATGAGAAAGAAAAAACAATTACAATTTTATATAAAAAAAAAAATATATATATATATGCAATTATAAGCTCTAGGTACTAAAAATTGTATAGTTGTCAAACCGAATCGCACCTCGCTTCCGGTTCCGGCATTAATTCGAAATTCGGTTCGGAATTCAAATTAAGCACGAAGCCATTTGCTATGGTAATTATATTTATATTTTCATTTTCATTTGTGTCTACATTTTATTTAACTATTTTAAATTTTAAAATTGTAAATAAAACAAATATAATAAATAATACAAGTTAAATAAATAAAATAAAAATAAACGGTTCTTAAAATGTTGAGTTTCGGTTCCAGTTCCGATTGTGGTTCCGGTTTGACACCCTTAGGAAAACGGATCAAAAAGCATACAAAACATAATTTCATACATTTCCTGCTCGAGACATCGAGTTCATGTACGAATGTTTTGGAATTTAAACTTATATAATGTTAGAAGCACAACACTAATACTTGGTTATTATTTAGTAGCAATATAAAAACTATTTGCTGTGTGCGCTCTGCAGATAAGACAAACAAAATAATGCCATGAAATCGTGTCCCCATTAAACCTGTAGTACTTGTCTCTTGTCTCTATTCACACATTATACTCGGATTTATGACAATTTGTATGTAGTATTTATTTGTGTGGCTGGTTTTCTATGGTCTACAGCCCTCAAGCATTTTAATAGCTCATTAAAATAAAAAAAATTCCATAGAATTTATGTAGCTCACATCGTTCAAAAGGCGACACATGTGATGCGACGGATGAGAATAACAATTTTGTATCTGTATCTCAAGCGAGTCGATTTGAGTTAATTGTTTTGGCATTTGTTTTAATGGAACACGCAAAAATAGACAAGAACAAAGTCGACAGATCGCCTGCAGATCAAATCCCATTTAGAACTTGCAAATTGCGGAGCCAACACTCTCAACTAACTCCACAATTACGTGCAACTCTCTTTGCCCGCTCTCCCCCTACTTGCCGTCCTGCTGTCATTTTGCATTCCATGTGCAATTGAGGATCAGGCGCCAATTGCACTCCAAGTGGTCTGAGGCCATTTTCAATTGGCGCCAGACGCAAACATTTTGAATAAACAATTTCAAGCATCTAAAAGACACTCCCCACAAGAATATTCTGTTTGGTTTCGAGCATCACAAGTAAATATGAATAATAAATTCAGAAATTAAGTGAGAAGAGCAATATGGAGAGGAACTAACCTTAGCCTGTCATCCATATATACATTTTGTTTAAATTTTCTTGGAATCCACAGTTTAGAAATTATATAGACGCGTCTGATTTCAGGGGCAGTGGAATCGGGACTAAGCTGGTTCGAATTTTGAAAACTAAGGCGCTTTAAGCATGGTTTAACCTCAAAATAAATACTGTATTTAAAGTTAGAAACGCGATTCTATTTCGAAAGTCATATTCAAATTATACCCTCAAAAATTGCTTTGGTCAAAACTTTCCAATGCCGACCAAAAATTATCAGATTTTCATGCTTATTGATCATGAATTGACCTCAAAAATTACACTACATTCAATGTTTGAAACGCGATTCTGTTTTAGACCGGTTCAAAACATTTCAATACCAGAACTCCATCAAAACTTATATGGTCAGCTGCCACAACTCCACAACCTCCCCCTTTCCTTACATCGAACTACGTATTTAAACTATCATTAATCAATGTATTTAATCTTCCGCCCAGTTCTAGCTTATTTATGTCGGAACTGCCAACTACAAGCTTCAAGAAAAACATTTATGTAATCACGAATACACTCTTGAATAAATAGTATATATGCGGCTGTTCGAGTGGTGCAGTTCAATAGTTCAGTGTCATTGCGATAATTCATTGTGTTCTGCCCAGTTGTGTGAGTGGCCTTCAATCGAACAGTAAATAATATTGTACAATTGACCACTGAGCCGTGACTTACAAAAGTTGCTTTTGCTGCTTTTGTGTAACATAAGAAATAAAATAATACTAATAAAATTAAGCTTGAAAAATGAATTTGCTCATAGGAAACAAAAGGCACAACTTGGCTTTCGATTTATTTATTTATGTATATATGGGATGGGACTTGACTTATGGCTTATAAGTTTGAACATCTCAGCGAAGACTCTTCCGTTTTGTAATTAATCAATTTCAGCT